CAAATCCTGTACTGAAGAAGTCATGTAGACAACAGATGAGGAGGGGCAGGGGACCTGTTTTCTATAACTGTCCCAACTGTTAAGCTTTTGCTTTATCAAAGGTTGTGAGAGGTTTTGCATTGCCTGTCTGCCCTGATGAGAAATGTTGTGGTGTGAACTAACATGATCCTAAAGGAGAGATACACAAAATGGATCTATTTTTACTCTGCCACTGGCTTGCTGAATGACCTTGCGTAAATCACATCCTTGTACCTCATTTTCAATTATGCAAATTAGGGATTAAAATTGTTCACCTTCTTAAAGTGTTTCAAGATGTACTGATGCAAAGCTAGATGTTATGATTTTAACACCTCACAATTAACTCTCCATTTCTAGCCATCTGACGCTGCTATCGAAACTCCCACCACTTTCTGGGTGATGCCTCAAGTGGTGAGTTTTAGGGATGGATGGTCATCTAACCAGGCAGGAGATAAATAATGTCAGAGGACACAAGGCTGATGAACTGTCTTTGCAATGGTCATTACTTTATGTTTCAGAAAATGTGAAAATTAAAAAAAAAAAATGTAATTAGGGGGCTGAGCAGTGCTGGTTGATGACTGTAAATGGCTGGGCTGCATCAATTCTTCACTGGGCCCTGAGCAGTCAACATCCCAAGCAGGAGTTTTTTTTAAATCCTGTGGGAACACAAGCACCAGAAATTATAACTACTATCCTTGACTGGGCATCAGCTGCTTTCAAAACCAAACCAAAGCAGATCTGCTGCAGATAGACAACACCTAGAGAGGAAAGTCAATGCATAAGGCTGCAAAGAGTGGAGACAGTTTAACTTCCATGGACATGTGTGCGTCCAAGCCTGGAGGTGGTTCTGCCAGCCCAGATTTGACCCCACCAGCTCTCACTTTGCAAGGAATAGTTAACGTTCACTAAAGCAAGGTCATGGACCACGTGCCTGGTGAGCAGTTAACCCACCAGACTCTGTTCATTCTGACCCTTTTTCTCCCACTCTCCTGTGTTTCTGCATGTGTCAGAATAGCTTAATATTTTAGGGGTGAATATAAGCTGAGGCAAGTGGTGGCTGTTCCCAAGAGGGGCCATGGAAACTTCTGGTGCTGCAAGTTGGGGTTTTAGTTAAATGAAGTGGTAATGCCATAATGTGTGCAACATCCACTACTTCTAAAGTTAGACTCAGTTGTGCTAATCACTGCAGAAATGCATGACAAGGAGCTTGCTTATCTCTCTGTTCAACGTCAGGAAAGCACAGACTTCTAGCATCACCTGGGAAAAAGGCAAGATGGTCCTGCAAAGGCCTTGCAGACGTCTGCAGAGGGTCATTGCCCACGTCCGCAGAGGGTCCTTGCCCAGCATCACCCAGTTATCAGCCTGGGCCTTTTCAGAAAGGAGGATAAATGGTACAAATAACTCCCTTTTTGGACAAGGACACTTGAGGAAGAGCATACATTTCCCCACACGACACTAAATTATACAACTGCCAGAGTCCAGCAAGCAAAGTGATTCTGTCTTCCCCAAAGCTCTTCTCCTCCTCTAATTACATTTGAAATGTTTTGTACGCTATTGAAAATGTCACTTCCAGCTGCGGACCGTTAAGGAGCCTACGTGGCACAGACATGGGTTTTATTAGGGCGGGTTTGCTGCTGGGCATTTTGATGGCAGCAAACAGACCCGGAGTGAAGTACGTTTTGTTGCAAACATTGAACACTTGTTATGGTGATAGATCTTCTACAAAGGCACAGTGGTGGCCAAACTGTTTTTAAGACCGAGACCTGCATAATCAAACATGAACTGCTCAGATATGTGCTATTTCTTCCCTTCTGCCCCAAAGCAGTAATGGAGACAAACGTAGTGGTCCTGGTTTGTACTGGAGTCACTGCACAAAACCCCACTATGCTCTCCAAGGCATTTGTGTTGTTGATTAAGAATCGTAGAATGGTTTGGGTTGGAAGGGACCTTAAAGATCATCTAGTTTCACCCCCCCTGCCATGGGTAGGGACACCCTCCACTACACTAGGCTGCTCAAAGTCTTATCACCCCTGGCCTTGAACACTTCCAGCGATGGGGCAGCCAAAACTTCTTTGAGTGACCTGTTCCAGTACATCACTACCCTCAGTGTAAGCAATTTCTTCCTTATATCTAACCTAAATCTCCGCTCTCTTAGTTTAAACCCATTACCCTTTGTCTTATCATTACACACCCTTGTAAAAAGTCCCTCTCCAGCTTTCATGTAGGCCCTTTGAGGTCCCTTCCAACCCTAACCATTCTATGATTCTATGTGCTGAAAAGACGACTCTGGCCCATCTCTCCCTGTGGTAAAAGAGCAGGTTTTTGCTGCAACTCTCCTGGTAAGCAGATACTGGGACCAGGCTGGAGAAGAGGGAGGAGAGTATGTGCATCTCATTCTGTCTCTCCTCATACCACCACTTAGCACGGATCCTGTCCCGGTCACACTGTTCGCTGCTGGCAACTAGACTAAGATCACCAATTTATTCTGTCCTGGCCTGCAGTCATTTATATCTATCTCTCTCTGGAGAAGGATGGGATGTTTTCTTTCTTTCATCCTGTACTCTTTTAACTAAAGTTTTGATGGAAGCAGAGCAGTCTCCTGACTATTCTGCAGAGACGATCATCTAACTTAAACGGAAACGAGCCTGCCAGAAAGTTTAATGACTGACATCGCCAACACATTTAGCATAAATTTCCAAACAGCCCCAAAGAGCATGTTGCTCCAGACAGAGCATGGTGGGAGGCCTGGGGAGCTTGGTCAGATCTGCCCGGGAGGCAGTAAACTGGTGAGGATCAGTGAGGGTACTGCATGCCAGCCCACTCCAAACCCCTGCTTAGTACCTTTGTCCTGCTGCTGGGGCCTGGACGATGTCTACGTTTGGGTGGCGCATCCAACTCCCCTGCCTGGGTGCTGCACCCAGGGTATTTGCAGAGGTCTTGTCAATGGCACATGGCACTGTCCTCCCAGTTCAAGAGAGACAAGGACGTACCGGAGAGAGTCCAGCGAAGATGATTTGTCCATCGCGAAGATGATTTTTCCATCACAAAGATGATTAAGGAATTGGAGCACCTGTTGTTTGAAGAGAGGCTGAGAGAGCTGGGACTGTTCAACTTGGAGAAGACAAGACTGAGGGGGATTTTATCGACATGTTGAAGTATCTGATGGGGGGAGTAAAGAAGATGGAGCCAGACTCTTCTCAGCAGTGCCCGCTGATAGGACAAGAAGCAGTGGTAACAAACTGAAATACAGGAGATTCCATTTAAACACAAGAAAAAAGCTTTTTTTTCTCTGCACAGTAATCAAACACCGGCAGAGATTGCCCAGAGACGTTGTGGAGTCTCCATCCTTGGAGATAATAAAAACTTGACTGGACACAGCCCTGAGCAACCTGTTTTAGCTGACTTTGTTCTAAGCAAGGAGTTGGACTAGACGGTCTCCAGAGGCGTCTTCCAGCCGCAATGATTCTGCAATTCTGTACCCCCTAAATTGGAATTTAAGAGGCAAGTGGTATCTTTGGTTGAGGGCTGCACTTTGGAGCAAGTGATTTCCTAGCTTGAAGAAAGTTCAGGAAGCCAAAATACACAACACGATTGGCTGAGAGGCTGGTGGAGAAATGCCAACACGAGGATGCAGACCACAGGAGCAATGTGACTTGTTGACATAACTCAAAAAGGTGCCATCGTTTTCTTTTCGGGGTTAAAGAAGATTAATATTTGCAAACTGAGGAAGTAGGCCTGTGGCAGCAAGTTCTTGGAAGAGTTAGAGAGCTATTTAATGTCTCTGGGATGTAAATAAGTCAGCAGAGATCTCTCATCATGAACATGACCTTTCTTTGTCTGACTAATAACAGGACTTTTAAGAACTGTCAGAATCTCCTGTCCTCCCAAGCTCAACAAGGGCTTCTTCTATTTCAACAACGAAATAGGAAAGTGTTCCCAAATGCCCTTTTCTTAATTTTCAAGTTGTTTTTCCACTAAAAAAAAAAAAAGAAAAAAGGTAGAAAGCTAAGAGGGAGCTAGGACTCCTCAGAGGGTCCCAAGGCAAAAATCAGGTGATTTGGTGGTTCTTGCTGGAACACCCATCATTCAGTCTGTCCTACATTCGTGGCCAGTCACAGCATTAGTGAATTCACCCTGGTTGCTTGGCAAGATCAGAACAGCAGGGGTGATTTCCCTGCATGTGCTATTGGGCAGAGCCAAAGGAGCCTAGAGCTTATGGCCAAGTAGCATTCCTGAGACACGAAGGGACCCCCACGAACGCTGCACATGGTGCTGTGTCTAACTACAGATATGTGTGATGGAGGGGTGAGGGTTAACTGGAATGGGAATCCATATCTTTGTTTTGACTTTAAAGCTTGATGTTTCCTTTAAAATGGAAGGAAGAATCAGCAGCTGTTTCTGTGACAGAAGCTGCTCCACTAGCTTTTGCCCCCAAACCCTCTGATTTCCAGGAGATTTCATGCTTCTGGCTCTGGCAAGCACTTCTGCAGGGTCCTGGTTTCCCTGAGGCTTTGTAAAGCCTTGTTGTCCCTAAGCCACACTAGTGCTTCTTCCTGGGACGGTTGGTGTGTTGACATGGGGCACACCAGCCTCGGCTCTCCCTGCCCACTGCTGCTGCTACTGGTATTGCAGAAGCCCTGTCTTGTGCAAAGTGCTGGGCAAGGATAAGAGATGACCCCTTGCCCAGACAGCTTGAAATCTAGCTTATCCGGGACCACGCTCCAACACCCTTATATCTGTTCAAAAGCCAGCAACTCAATCAAAAGCATGGCCTGATTCTAGAAGGGGGATCGGGTTATGGTCTTGAGCAGGTTACCACTGCTTTTCGTGTCAGGGCAATGTCATGTTCACCGATGACATTATCTGAAGCAAATACTAACCATTTCTAGCACCAGCAGCGTGCTCCTGAGGAGAGGTATCTCACCTCTTTACCCAAGCTATCTGAAAATATCAAAATCTCCTTTATTTTGTTGTTTTGCTAGGAATAGCACCAGGCTGGCACTTGGAATATATCGACGTGACGGACTCTGCCATGGACAAGACATTCCGCTTCCAGTGTGATCGCTGGCTGGCTAAAGGTGAAGACGATGGGCAGCTCATAAGGGAACTGGCTTGCGCCAATAATGACATCCTGGAACTGAAGGAACGGACTGGTAAGTTTAGAGTTGTCTCGTGGCACGTGCTGAAGGACCCCAGAGGATATAGGACCACACCTCGTGTAAGGCACTCTACCAAGGGTTCCCATGCAATAGGCGTTAGTATTTGCAGATTTTAAGGGTTAAATTACTTAAGGTACTCTTCATTTCAAAAGTGCAATGCTGTGATAAGAAAGAAACAGATCAAAATTTATGGGGAAGAAAAAGATCTCATTCTGGGTTGAATCTTAAGAGGGGCCCATCTGCAGCAGTTCAATCCAGCAGTAAGCATAAGGACACATGGTTATGGTCTCATTAGAAATAATAGTCTTGAGTCTTTGAGGTGGAAAATAAGTTCAATCCTTAAAGCTTTGTAAGTTACATTGCTCCAGCTTCCTCCTTAACGTGTTCTGGGCTACTAGCTCAAGTATCCCAGCTGAGCATGATGGCTGAGCTTAACACCCCATAGCCCTGAATCTGCTCCGGGTAATTCCACTGAGTCCAAGGCAATTACACTGGTGTCTAATGCGGTAAGCGAGCGAGAAAGAGTTATTTAACCACACCAATGATACGCAAAGTGCATCTCAAGAACTCCTGCACTGCAGTGCTCTTCTTCAGGAGAGTACTGGAAAGCCAATAATCACATTACTTCAGTGTGATTTCTCTCTGCCTCTCAAAAAAACAGCCTTGTGATTGCCAGTTTGGGTACTTACATGCCACCACGGCATCTGAGCACATCCTGTTGGGTACATGGGTATACTCACGGTCCTGCTGTTAGGAACAGTGGCACAAAAACAACAGGATTTGGGCTGTGTTAAAAAGCAAGTGCTTAGCACAGCAGGGAGGTGGACACAGCTTGCTCAAGAGCAGCTCCATCAACTCTTGCTAGCTGATCGAGCAGTATTCATATTCTTCAGGTACTCAATCCCTGCCTGAAATCCAAAGCACGTAGAAGTCAAAAGACCCACAGATTTCAGTGTGGTTCCATCCTTATTTTGCAAACGCTTTCCCGTGTGCTGTGATAAATATTAGGAAGAGAGTTTTTAAGCAAAGTGACAGCCAAATGAAGAGATTTTTCTGGCCATCTGCTCTCCCTTTTCTGTTTAACGTGTGTGCTAATTATACTTTAAAGTCTATGAGATTGTCACAGTAACAAGCGACAGAGAGGACGCAGAAACAAAGGAAAACATCTGGATCATCTTAGAAGGCAAGCTGGGCCGCTCGAAAGAATTCCTTATGGAAAACTCCTCCAAGAAGAGGAGATTTGAAAGGTAATGGGACTGGATGGTGGGCTAGAGGAACCACCCACCAGCTGTGTGTCTTCCACAAATGCCACCTCTTCTCCAGGACTGTCTACAGAGTTGTGTTTGTGCCATGCTGTTTCTTATTCCTCTTCCAAAAAAACCTATTAGCTTCTTCCTTGGAGTAAAAGGAAGATGGAAAATTAATTTCTGATGGTCAGACACAGAGGAGGTTTAAAAAATGATAAGAAAAATGCATCTGGTTTAAAGATATATAGATGATGAATGTGTGCGTGTGTGTCCTTTTGTATTAGTACACACAAACGGGCTTCTGGCCAGCCCCTGGGAAAGCTGTGTATTTTTGAGCTGGGAAGAGCAGAAGAAAGCTGGAGGTGGTTTTAGTTCCTTGTACAGCATCTCACTGGCAGG